TCCTGTCCTGGTCCGGTCCTGTCCTGGTCCTGTCCTGTCCTGGTCCTGTCCTGTCCTGTCCTGTCCTGTCCTGTCCTGGTCCTGTCCTGGTCCGGTCCTGTCCTGTCCTGACTGGGTCCTGTCCTGTCCTGGTCCTGTCCTATCCGGGTCCTGTCATGTCCTGGTCCTGTCCTGGCGGGTCCTGTCCTGTCCTGTCCTGGTCCTGTCCAATCCGGTCCTGTCCTGTCCTGTCCTGTCCTGGTCCTGTCCTGTCCTGGTCCTGTCCTGTCCTGGTCCTGTCCTGGTCCTGTCCTGTCCTGACCTGGTCCTGTCCTGACCTGGTCCTGTCCTGTCCTGGTCCTGTCGTGTCCTGTCCTGTCTTGTCCTGTCCTGTCCTGACCTGCTTCTGTCTTGTCCTGTCTTGGTCTCTCCTGTCCTGGTTCTGTCGTGTCCTGTCCTGGTCCTGTCATGTCATGTCCTGTCCTGTCCTGTCCTGGTCCTGTCCTGGTCCTTTCCTGTCCTGTCCTGTCCTGGTCCTGTCCTGGTCCTTTCCTGTCCTGTCCTGGTCCTGTCCTGTCCTGGTCCTGGTCCTGTCCTGTCCTGTCCTTGTGCTGTCCTGTCCTGGTCCTGGTCCTGTCCTGTCCTGTCCTGGTCCTGTCCTGTCCTGTCCTGGTCCTATTCTGTCCTGTCCTGGTCCTGTCCTGTCCTGTCCTGACCTGCTTCTGTCCTGTCCTGGTCTCTCCTGTCCTGGTTCTGTCGTGTCCTGTCCTGGTCCTGGTCCTGTCCTGTCCTGTCCTGTTCTGTCCTGTCCTGGTCCTGTCCTGTCCTGTCCTGACCTGCTTCTGTCCTGTCCTGTCTTGGTCTCTCCTGTCCTGGTTCTGTCGTGTCCTGTCCTGGTCCTGTCATGTCCTGTCCTGTCCTATCCTGTTTTGGTCTGTCCTGGGCTTCTGAGTCATTGAGGTAGTTGAACTGATTGCATTGACAACCCGACCTTTCTCTTGTTTCAAAGTGTTCCTGGGCCCCCTGTGAAGGGCATGTCCATGGAGAAAGGTCCCCCAAGCAGTGCCACCTCAGGACCAAATAAAATAAAGTCGAGCCACTGTCAAAGCAGTCCTCCTCCGATGTAGACAGCAGATAAAGGAGAGGACAGATAGCCAGAGAGGTGGTGCAGGAGACCAGTAAGGCTCAGCGGAGGTTTGAGGATAGGTCACGCTGTGCATCTCTGAGCACCAAAGAGGAGGAGCAGAGGGTGACCCCCGGGCACGATGGCACAGGAGAAGGGACCAAAGGTCCTTCACAAGTGGCGTCCTGGTGGAGAAGCAGCACAAGGGCTCAAATTCCAGAGCAAGGAGAGTCATGGAGGTCAGGGGCGGGATAAACAGACGGGGTGGAGGTTGGGAACTCGGCTCAGCGAGCGTGTCTAGCCGTGTTCCCCAAATGACCTGCTCCTCCTTTGGCAGCACAAGGCAAGGCGGTCATCCAAGAGGACGGGTGGCAGTAGGACTGGAAGCAGCTAACGGCTTGAGGTCGCCTTGAGGGCCACGTGTGAGGGGCTAGTGAATCCTGAGAGCAGGGACCCAGGGCGCACCACGCCAGGGGGAAGGAGAGACATGTGGTGGGCACCACTCAGGCTCACCTCGCTGCCCACCTGCCCCGTGCTGAGCCTCCATAGTCAAGGAGGAATGGCCCGCTGTTCCCTGGTCTGGAGACCGTGGGCTCCTCTGTGTATGGAGCAGAGCACAGGCAGGAGGTGGAAGAGAGTGTGGAAGGCCCCAAGGACTTTGTCCCCTCATGAGACTGATTTTTCTTCTCGGCGCAAGATGATTCACTGGGGGAAGAATGGGGGAAATGGAGGTGAAGGAGTGTCCTGAGGCCCGAGGTCAGAGAAAGAACAGGTCCTCTAACTGTGCCTTTGCTGGTGGCTTTCCCTGATTGCCCAGATGTGACTCTGAGGGCACAGTGGAGGAAACCGGCATCCAGAGAACCCCATCCTTCATGAGTTGGGCCGCTAAGCATGGGGGGGAGCAGTGTCGTCTTCGCTGCACCTTCACCAAGAGGTGCTTCCTACTGCACATCCAGAACAGCCAGGACCCAGTTTTAACCTCCTTTTCTTCTCTCCCTAAGATGATGGCGCCATCAGGGTCTGGAAGAACTTCGCTGATTTGGAGAAGAATCCAGAAATGGTGACCGCTTGGCAGGGGCTTTCAGACATGCTGCCAACAACCCGAGGTGGGTCCTCCCCAGAGACAAAAGGAGGTCCCAGAGCTGCTGGGGGGCCCCGCAGTTCCATGTACCCCTAGGCAATGGCTCCTGTCAGGCCATTCTGTTCTCTTCAGATTCCCCAAATTGTAAACCAGCTGGCTTCCCCTAGTTGCCACAGAAGTGCTTCCACCTTGGGATACATGACTTTACCGGGTGGCAGTCTAACCGAGCGCCGACCTTCCTGGCTATCGTCACCGTGGGTGCACCTGCCCCAGCCCTCATCCTGGGCTTGAAACGTGTGTAGTTTGGAGGAGCATCGCCTCCGGGAGGGCCTGGAGGACCTACGTTCCGTGCTCTTTGTGCCCAAATTAACTCCCTTTCGGTGATGAGTGCACGGGGGCGTTCGGTTGTGTCTTTGCATCTGGGCGGTGGAGGCTGTGTGCGCTTGCCTGGCCTGCCCTGGGCTGCTGGAAGGTGCTCTCAGGCTGAGTTGGTGTGGCTGCAGCTCCGCTGGGCACAGCTCTGCATGCTGCCTATCAGGCGGGCATGGCTGTGGGCATGGCTGCCGCTCCACAGCTGAAAGAGAAACTCCAGCACCGCCTGCCGATCCTTCCAGGGACCAGGGTGGGAGTGGAAGGGTCTCCACACTCTCAGCTGACAGGCATCCCAGCAGCATTTACCACAGGCCACGGTGTCTAGATTTCCAGAGCCGCCTGCAGCTGGAGTCCTTATCTCCCTTCAGCGTGATCCCAAAGCCACTGATGCTACTAAATAGACAGGAAACAAAAGCAGCTTCCCCTCTCTGCTCCTCCTTTGCCAGCCTGGGATTTCTACATCTTTGTCCACTTCCCACTCGGCCTCATCTGTGTCCTGTCACTTCCCGCACGGCCTCATCTGTGTCCTGTCATTGCATAGCCATACTCTTCACGACCGGTTGTCTCTGTGGCTCCTTCTGTCTCCTTCTATCTGAGCGCCTGTCCTGGGGAGACTCAGATTCTCAGGTGACTTCATGAGGGAGGCACTACCCAGCTGCTGAGGTGGACTGCTCCGGGGCGGACATCTCCTTGTATATTGTTTTAAAAAATGTAGCCATGTTTTAAAATTTTTTTCAGGAACAAAATAGTCATCTATATCCACCCCACCCCAACCCCCCCAACACGGCCACTTTCAGGTTGCCCAGGCCCCTCCGGGCCGGGTCGTGTGCTGACGTGGGTGACGTGGCTGCAATCGCAATGTCCTTCCTTTTCCCACATTAGAGCAAAAGCCTGTTCTCTGCCCCACAGACACCCCCTGATGCCCCCACCCCCTTGGCCCCCCACCTCCTCAGCCTCCACCCCTTCAGCCCCTACCCCCTCAGTCCCCACCTGCTCAGATCCCCAATGTGCTCAGCCCATACTCTCTCAGCCCACACATCCTCAGCCCCACACACCCTCAGCTATCGAGGAGCACAGCATGTGGGTGTGATGGGTGTTGGGGTTCTCTCTGGGAGAAAGAAAGCTGGGTGAGCAGATTGACAACACAGCAGAACCACCCTTTGGGTCTCAGCCCACACACCCTCGGGCCCACACACCCTCAGCCCACACACCCTCAGCCCACACACCCTCAGCCCCCACACCCTCAGCCCCCACACCCTCAGGCCCCCATACCCTCAGCCCACACACCCTCGGTCCCCTGCGCCCTCAGGCCTCCACACCCTCAGCACACACACCCTCAGCCCCACACACCCACACATACCCTCAGGCCACACACACCCTCAGGCCCACACACCCTCAGCCCACGCACACCCTCATCCCATACACCCTCAGCTCATACTAGCCCTCATCCCACACACCCTCAGCTCACACACGCCCTCATCCCACACACCCTCAGCTCACACACACCCTCATCCCACACACCCTCAGCTCACACACACCCTCATCCCACACACCCTCAGCTCATACACGCCCTCATCCCACACACCCTCAGCTCATACACGCCCTCATCCCACACACCCTCAGCTCACACACACCCTCAACCCTCCATGCCCTCAGCCCCCTGCTGGCGGCTCTGCTGGGGGCCCTGCTCTGTGTTGGGAGCAGGCGGCCGTGATCACCTCCCCTTGGCATTCTCGGGCCCACGCTCTCAGGTTTCACTGCAGGACACATGCTGCGTGACCTGAATCATCTCCTCAGGACACAGAGCACAGGGTTTTCAATCTTCTGCTTCCTGCTGCCGTCTCAGCAGGCAACACACCCCAGGCCCCAGCCATTCCTCCAGCCCCTGCACACAAGGTGGCCCGCAAAGACCCCTGTGCAAGGAAGGCAGGGCCTGGTGGAGAGCAGAGTCAGGAGGCCCATGGCGAGGCCTGAGAGTGGGAGAGTCAGGAGCCCCCCGACGGCTCAGGATATGTGCTGGTTGTTTAGTTTATTCATCTTGCAATGAATACCTCACTGTCCGCCCCCAAATGATGTGCCTTACCCATAATGTGTGTCTTACCCATAATGCCATCTCCCTTTGCTTTAGTTAAAGTGAAAGAGGCTGTCAGGGAGCACAGCATGTGGGTGTGATGGGTGTGGGGGATCTCGCTGGGAGAAAGGAAGCCGGGCGAGCAGATCGACAGCACAGCAGAACCACACTTTGGGTCTCGGGCCACCCTGTCCTTATCTCCAGCCCTTAGAGGGCCCCGGACATCACCTGGTATGTGGAGAGCTACTCCTGGCCCCAGGCGTCCGCTGCAACCCTGACTTGAAAGCAGGTTCCATCAGTGTAGACGTACGTTTCCTACCAACCCCTCCCTGCTGGACCTGGGTTTTCAGAACTCTCCCAGGAGAGGCATTGTTGGTGGGGGCCAGGGAAGTCGGGGAGGTCTCCTCTCTGGGTCTTGATCAGCAAGTCGGGGGAGGGGCTTTGGGCTGGCATTCTGCACTCTCCCAGCTGCTCAGCCAGAGTTTGTGTGGTCATGGCCTGTGCCATTCAGCCAGGCCACAGTGGGCTTAGCAAAAAGGAAGATGTTATTTCCTTGTTCTCTCTGGGAGGATGGAAGGATAGAAGGGAAAGGGAACCTAGGAGACCAGCTGCTCTAAAGGCTCAGGACAGGGTGGGCTTGTGTGCCTCAGGGTCCGGGAGGGGCAGCTCCAAGTACAGGAGATGCCCCAGAAAGAGCCCTGCACTCTGGCTGCCTCACCAGCCCGCACCCTCCAGCCGCCACAGCTACCCTCTGCAGCGAGGGGACCACAGGCCCCAGTAGGGCCAGAGACAACCCCCTGATTGTAACTTACATTTCAGGATCTTAAGCTCAGTAGCAAGGAGCAGGTCTGGTGGAATCTCAGCCCCTGTGCCAACTTCTAGCTGCCTTCTGCCTCTCAGCAGCCAATTTCTCTCTCTTCGCCCATCCTGGGAATAGTTCTGACCTCTGACATGACAATCACAGAGCTCTGGGCTGTCACCCTGGGAGAGAAGGAGTGGAAAACACCAAGAGCACCTTCCATACTCGTTGCTTTTCGGCATCTCGGGGCACCCCCCACAGTACAAGGCCGTGCCCTTCAGAGTTCTGGCTGTGGTCTCTGGGGACCTTCTCAGACAGAGGCAGTAGCCTCCACTCCCTGCTCCAGATTACCTCCCGGGCACTTGAAGCTCTCTTTGCTCCCTGCACGTGGTTCTCCACCTGGCCCACGAGTACCCCAGGCAGCTGCAAGCTGTCTGAGTGTGGGAAGAGGCACGCTTTTCTGGGGAGGGGCCCTGGCTGTCATCAGCTCCTCCAAGAATCTGTGACTGGAGGGATCCTGCACAGCCGTGCACCCTGTGAAGCTTGGCCCACCATGCCCTTCAGCTACAAGTGCGTGGAGAAGGCTCATCTTCTGTGAATGCCAGCGTGTAGGGTGGGCAGGAGAGAAGGTGATTTGTCAGTAGACCCAGTGGACTTGGCATGAGCCGGGCGATGGAGGGGAGCCATTACCTAAGCAGCTAGAAAGCTGCTCCTGTGAAGTCTTTTGTTCTGAGCTCTCTCAGCTCAGAATCTGCTCACCAAGTTGCTGTCTGGGCAGCTTGTTTGAAAAGAGTTGATTCCGTGGTTTGTGACCAAAGAGAAGACACTGTTTTTTGCAGGAGCCCCACCCCTGCTCTTTGGAAGTCTTGTGAAATATGTGCAGGGTCTCTGTGTCGTCATCTTAAAGTACCTCTGGCCTACATGCACACACGCACATGCACACGTACGCGTGCGCGCTCATACACATGCACACACGTGCACAGTTACCTGGGGACACCCTCCCCTCGCAGGCCCCCAGACCGCCCTCTAGAGCTGAGTACCTCATGTTCTGAAATAGAATCAGTGATGGAACCACCCGTCCTCCAGCCACAGGCATGGGCAGAGATGCCTGCACTCAGGTGCCCCTTCAGAGCCTCCTCACTAACCTCTAGGGCCGCTTGCGGGTAAAGAGCTGAGCCTTATTTCTGAGCACTTGACGCAGGCGCCATCTCCCTCTGTGCTCCCCGCCGCCCCTCTGCTCTTCTCCTGCATCGCCGCCAGCACCACTCCTGCCAGTTTGGCCGCACTAACCGTGTGCATTTCTGGCCACTAACCTCCCCAAACTGCTGCGCCTTCTCCCCCCTTGGAGGCCTCCCTGGCCCGGCCACAGTGGTCTTCACATCAGTGTTTGCGAGTTCTCGGGTGCTTGGAAGTTCCGATCCCGTGTTAGGTCATGTTTCACAGTGAACCACAGTGCTTTCCAATTTCCCATCTAGAAAGACTTTTTCTGGCCAAGAAACCCTGATTATGAAGTTTCCACATTTGTCAGGTGAATCTTGCCAAGGTCAGTAGGCCACCTGGCGAGGTCGGCCTTTCTCTGACTGAAGTGTGCTGCAGTCTGGGCTGCTCCTGTCTGTCTCCCTCTCTCCCGTTTCTCCTTGGATGCTCTTCTAACCCTTTTTGGTTTGTTTGATTGGGTTAATTTTGCTCTGGCTGGCCGGCTTACCTTGCATCAGACCCATAATCCCCGTTTCCTCACAGGTCTGGCCCGAAAGGTCTCGATCTATCTTGACCACAGTAAGCAGGGAGGTGAGTGCCTTCTCTCTTCTCTATGACCACCCAGGCTGGGTGACTGGCACCGGCCCCTCTCCCCTGCTCGGTGGCTCTTGTTCTCGCCTGTGTGCTCTTTGGGCTGGCAGGGGCTGGGGCTCTGGTTTTGCTAACTTGTTCCATCCATGCGGTCCCCTTGATACGAAAGAACATGAGCCAGCAAGCACTCAGATTTTATTGGACGAATTAGGTAGCTGTGTGAGGTTCTGGGAAGAGATCCTAAGAAAGCCGTAGAAAGGAAGCTCCCTCAGATCCAAGGCCCCGTGGTCACACCTCCTGGGCCTCCCAGTTCTGAAGGTGGGGACTTGAGCCTGGCCGCTCCAAGTCCTGTCCCTCCTTCTCTTCTGCATTACCCCATGTTGGGCTCTTACTGCATTCAAGAAGATTCCAATGTCCTCTTCCGTCTCCAAGCCACCTTCCCTTAGCCTAGGATGGAAAATAATCCAAAGTTAAATCTGTTGGAATGAGGATATCGCTGTCACCTCCTCACAGATTCCCATGCCAATAGGACAGCCCAGCTCTGCAGGCGAGACTCACCAGGAAGGGCATTTCAGTTTCAGTAGAACAGGGAAGTCGCTCCAGATAGAGATTTGTTTTCCCACCTAAACTTTCAAAAAGAATCTTTTTTTCAGAATTTAATGCAAAGTCTCTTGCAGCGTCTGTTTCCATCTGAAAAATCCATATATAAATTTGACTGTTACCAAAACACCCACACACAGCTGCCCTCGGAGCTACAACTGTGAAACGGTCAGCAGACGTCAAATACGTAATGCTCAAATGAGTACTTGTTCCCTGTACTCTCATGAGTTAGGTAGATTGTGCGGAGATGGAGCCTGGCAACTCCAGGCAGCAAATACAGTTCTCGACCTTGGGTTTGCAGGGCTCTGGCCCTCACACAGTCTCTCCAAGACAAGAGGCCGGTGCTTGTTTTTCGGGTTGGAACACTGGCGTTGAGGAGGGGAAGTGGCTTTCTTGGCGATGGGAGCTCCGTGTCCAGAGCCGTCCCTCTGTGCTGTGCTTCCCGCGGTCAGAGGGTCAGAGAATGTGGCTCTCACCATCTGTCGGGGGTCTCACCAGACCTGAGACTGTGGGTCCTGAAAGTCATTACAGCGTGGGCTGGGGCCCTCATCATAGGAAGGCAAGCCAGCAGGGCACTTGTGTGTTCCACCTCAGTGCCTGCGGGGTACACAGGACTCAGGAGAACCCAGACAGCTGAGGCACGCACTCACCTGTCTGGTCACACTGGCTCACCGAGCGCTTCAGAACTAAGCTTCAGTCTAAACCATGATTTGGTCAGCATCAGAGAATCTAATTTAAGAGTTTAAAAAAGACTTAGAGGGGCCAGCCCGGTGGCACAGCAGTTAAGTGCGCATGCTCCACTTCGGTGGCCCGGGGTTCACAGGTTCAGATCCCGGGCGCGCACTGATGCACTATTTGTCAAGCCATGCTGTGGCGGTGTCCCATATAAAGTAGAGGAAGATGGGCAGGATGTTAGCCCTGGGCCAATCTTCCTCAGCAGAAAAAGAGGAGGACTGGCAACATATGTTAGCTCAGGGCTAATCTTCCTCACAATAAAAAAAAAAAGGCTTAGAGCTCACGTGACCCATGTCCCCTCCAGGGTGAGAATTCTTGATGGCCAAGTGGGCACACCTGCCAGAGCTGCTGGTCAGGTGGAGACGCTGAGGCCCAGTGAATGAGCTAAGTTGTGTCCCCCCTAAATTCCTGTGTTTTGGAGTCCTAACCCCCAGCACTAAAGGTGGCTGTATTTGAGAGAGGGTCTTTGAAGAGGTGATTAAGTTAAAGTGAGGTCATTAAGGTGGGTCCTGATCCAGGGTGGGCTCGCACTAGCTCTGAACACTTTGTTGAATCCACCATGAAGAAAATGCAGCGAGAAGGAAGCTGCCCTCCGCCCCTCGCTCAGAGGCCCCAGTTGGCCTTCTAGAACAGTATGAAACAAGTCTGTCCTCTCACCCCGTTTGGAGCAGCTGCAGCTTTCCCCTCACTACCATCATAGACGTGAGTCTGAGACCCCTCAAGTCCTTGTGCCTCCCCCCCCCGTACTCTCTCTGGCTTGTCCCCGTGACCCCAGAATGTGGCCCCCTAGATGTGAGTGCCATGTTCCGGATGTAACTTGGGCCACGCTCTTTCATCAGCGGCTCGCTTGTTAATGACACAGCTCCTGAATGCCCTGTGGGGCTGACACGGAGTGTGAAGTGGGCTGTGAAGGACATCTGAAAATACAGGCTGTGCGCTCTCTGCTGCAGCGGCCACCCAGCAGTGGTCCACAGACTCAGGGGTTTGCGGGCCTCCGCAGCTGGGCGAGACTATGCACATGTCCACTTCCAGGAGAGAAACTTTCAGTCATCAGATTATCAGAGCTCTGTCACCACGAAAGGTTGGAGTACTGCTCTGTGGTGGGCGCAGAGGCAGCCAGGCACCAACCCAGGTCACACTTCACTGCGCTCCTCCCCCCAAGGCCACGGCCTACTAGCCATCTCCCGCACACAGACCAGAGTCCAGGGCATGTGGTCTGACCATTATGCTTTCCGATTTGTAAATCTGCTTATTTTTAAAAAACTTTTATAGAGCCTATACAAAGCAAATTGCTTTTAGTTTCACAAAGAATGTTTCTTGAAGTTGGAGCCGTTGCAGAAAACCTAGGACCTCACTTGACCAAGGGGCTCTGAGAGAGTGTTTGCCTGTGGCCAGATCCTAGCTGCCTCCCAAACCCAGCCCTCTGCAGACTGCTTTCCCCTGGGAGGGGCCCTGTCACACAGCGCCACCCTGCCTAGGCACACAACCTGTGCAGGCCTTGCCTCTCTCCAAAACTGAAGTGTATCCCAGAAATTTAGTCCTCTTTTAACCTTTCAGTAGGGAGGCTCGCAGACCCCTGAGTCTGTGGACCACTGCAGGCCCTAGGGGTGTGTGTGTGCACGTGTGTGTGTGCATACACATGTACATGTGTGTAGTTGTTTTAGCTGATCAAACCAGAGAAAATCATTGTCCTCAAATAGAGGAATGTTATGGACTGAATATTTGTGGCCCCCCAAAATTCATGTTGAAGCCCTAACCCCCACTGTGATGGTATTAGGAGGTGGGCCCTTTGGGAGGTAATAAGGGTGAGATGAAGTCATGAGGGTGGGGCCCCCGTGACGGGATTAGTGCCCTCGTAAGAAGAAATATCAGAACTCTCTCCCCTCTATGTGAGGACACAGCAAGAAGGCAGCTGTCTGCAAGCTGGAAGAGAGCCCTTACCAGAATCCGACCATGCTGGTGCCATCATCTCAGACTTCAGCCTCCAGAGCTGTGAGAAATAAATTTCTGTTGTTTGAGCTGCCCGGTCTGTGGTGTTCTGTTGTGGTGGCCCAAGCTCACTAAGACCTGGAACAAGCAGAACTGGGAGCTCTCACACTGTGGCTTGGGGCCTTCCCCACCCCTGACGAGTAGGGTGAAGGCAGAATCCATCCTAGGCCTGCCAAGGGGTCTTGTCAAGTAGCCCGCAAATGGGATGACAGATGCACTCAGAGGTCCCAGTCCTGGAGTGGCCTCAGCATCGCAATCCCAGACAATCCGTGTGTCTCAAGGTGAACACACGAGCTGTCAGCTCAGCCCTGGAGCCCAGTGGTTCCGTCTGCAGATGGTCATGTGGATTAATCGTCCAGGCTGCCCCGTCACTCACGCTCTGAGACGACGTGTTACTTAGGTGTGAGGTGGCTGTCTTTCAGCAGCGAGGCTGTGTCCCTCCTCTGTGGAGTCAGTGGCAGCATTTCTCCTCTGGCCGTGGGCCTCCTATCCCAGCAAGCTCAGCGACTGCATAAAGGGAGCGGACATCAGACTGAACTGGGTCAACCACAAGAGTTGCTGCTGCAGAAACCCCTCACGTGTTCTCAGGTTCACACGTGGACACTCCCAGGCTTCACCCTCTTGACTCCATCTCTATTTATCCCATCAAAAGTCTGCTTCCACATCGTGTGCTCTGCCGTGTCTGCCATCTTGTTTACCCTGAGGATCTGGAGAGGGTTGCTTTGTCAAAGCCTGTTTTTCTCTGTTGCGTAAATAGACAGACATAAATATCATGCCATATGACCTATTCGGGATTCGTCTGTCCAACTTAGTCTTCCTTTCACATTGCACACTGACCTTCCAGCAGCATTTAGACTGAGGGCTCAGGGGCCTTGAACAAGGTTCCGTTTGAGCCCTGTCTGTTACCCGTTATACAAGATTGTCCATCCTGCACTATATAAGGTCATCCGTTCCCTGTTATTCAAGGTCATCCATTCCCCGTTATATGAGATCGTTAATTCTCTGCTGTACGAGGTTGTCCGTCCCCCGTTATGCAAGGAGCCCCAGAGAGAAGGCTTGCAGATGGGCAGGGGTTTGTTTCCCTCCCTAACCCGGCCAGTAGGGGCAGTGGTTCCTGGGATACGGGCTTCGGTACATCATCTCAGTAGTCACCTTATTAGTGCTTCTGCCTCCGTCCCGGGGGCCCCTGGGGGTCCTAGCAGGGTCACTTGGGGGTCTCTGAACTGGTGCCTAAATGACTGCCTGTAATTGACTTGGGGTAACACTAGGTGAGTACAAGTGGTGAGTGCTGACAGAAGAGTGGGGACCGCCCCTGAGATACAAGCACCTGCTGGGTGTTCGACCTGTTAATATGTCAGTGGGGGGGGGGGGGCGGGTTCACTCCAAAAGGTTACATTCAGAGGAAAAGATTGCTTAAATTAATGGTTAACAGGCCAAACAGAAATTGTGCTCTCCATTTTTAACTTTATCTCATGCTTAACAAGATCTTTACCAAACATGCCAAATCTAGTGAAAATGGGGATCTGACAACAGGAACTTCAGAGATGTCATCCTTCTCCTAGGAATGGGGGGCGCAGCAAATGGGCCTATTTTGGAAGCGGTCAGAAAGCGTGCCCTCACTGGCCTCACCCCACCGTGCTTGCTTTTCTCCTGAATCGGTTCTCCGTCGGAAGAACTTCATCGAGCGGGACGCGCAGGCCCAGGTCTCCCTGCGTAGCCCCTGCCGTACCTGGCTGGGTCCAGGCCATTCCCAGCAGAGCGTCTGTCTCTCTGTCGTGAATATTCCCCACGTCCTCGGGCCGCCTCTCCCCTCCCTGTTGGCCGTGTGCCTGTGGTCAGCCTTGCCTGTCCCAGCGCCCATCTCTGAGTCCTTCCTGACTCGGAGCCTCATGTCCAGCACAGAGTAGCCACTAGGAACGTGTCCTGGAACCAGCTCCATCCAGGCCCTAGGGCCTTGCTTCTGGGGTCCAGGCAGGGGACCATTCGGTCAAGGAGACAAAACTGGAGCAGGGAGCTGCTTCTCTCTTTTCTCTTTTGTCTTTTTTTGTTGTTGTTGTTATTGAGGTAAAATTTACATAACATAAAATTAACCATTTTAAAGTGTTCAATTCAGTGGCGTCTAGTACATTCACAATGCCACGTCTATCTAGTTCCAGAACATTCTCATCACCCCAGAAGGAAACCTTGTCCCCGTTAATTAAGGTTCTCCCCATAGATTCTTTTAAAAACGGCAGGGAACTTGGAAGATTTCTCCTGCGCCAACAGCCACGCCGAACTGTTCGTGCTCATAAATTTGTCCAACATCTCGGCACCAGCCCTTGCCTCCTGCCCTGCTCAGGAGGATAACTGGCGGGCAGCCCTGGGCGCCTCTAGGCAGGACGGCGCTGGTGGAAACAAGCTGCTAAAACGGATACACCAGGAACCTCAGGTGGTGCCTTCGTTGGTGACCTGCTGCCATCCTCACATCCAGGGTCCCAAGTGGGCAGCACGTCCTCTGTAATTCGTTTCCATAAAGGCACACCAGGTGCGTCGAGAGGGAGAGAAAGCAGATTGCATAGTTCTAGGCTCTCCTCATGGGCTGACTGGTCACAGGGGGAGTGGGCTCTTCTGGACTGAAATGGGGAGGTACGTACCCCTCCGCATTGCACGTGCCATTCCTCATCATGATGGCAGCATCGTCTCCCACCGAGGGCAGGACTGAAAGGGCCCTACCTGCAGCCTTGTCACCTTAGCAAATGCCTTCCTGGCACGTGGGGCATTTCTTCCTGCCTGGGGTTAGATGCAGCACAGTAGGGAGACTGTGTCCTGAAAGGTAAAGTGAAGACTCTAGTCCGTTTGTCATGTGGAGTTTACATCCTGGCAGGGTGGACATGGCAGCAGTAAGCAAAACAAAGCAGTGAGCGCAGGGCACGCACAAGGTGGTGCTCTGGAGTAAAGAAAGGACAGAGTAGGTGAGGCTGCAGCATCAATGGTTGAGAAGGAGACTGAACGCAGACATCCAGGACAACTGGCGTAAAGGCCTCGTTTGAGCATGCCCGCCACCGTCAGGACTTGGGGTGCAGTGGGGACCTGCTGCCAGTTACAAGGAACGACGTGAACTGGCTGCATCCTGAGGGACTGCCCTGGTCATGTGTTGAGCCCAGGCCTTGCGGAGGCAAGGGCAGGGCAGGGAGACCCTCAGGAGGCCGTCAGGGTCGTGGGAGTAAGCATCGATGGGCTGAGATCATGGTGGTGAGACATTACTGGCGCTTGGATACACTTTAGAGTAGGGCATGAGGGATCAGAAGGGGTCGATGGCTCCGAGGTTCACACCCAAGCCACCAAGAGGAGATAGTTGCTGCTAACAGAGAGGCTATCAGTGGATCCAGGTGGAATGGGACCGGGTCGGTTTGGGGTGTGGCCAGGCAGACGTCCGAGTCAAGACCTCAAGTGGCAAGTGCATATGAGAGCCCGGGGTTCGAAAGAGATCCGGGACTTGAGGTAACTCCATAGCTTTAAAAGGATACGTTAGGAAAAAAAGAACAATTGAAGGTTACCTCACCCAACTCCAGAGGCTGGGAGAACAGAGCCCCTGAGAAAGCAAAAGAAAGAGACCACAGAGGTGAACACAGGAGCTGCCGCCATGAAAAGCAGAGTCAGGTGAGAAGTTGGACTTCAAACGTCTGTGTGGCCAGAAGGAAAACCAGTTAGAAGGTAAGCGACAGGACAGAAGAGGATATTTGTGATGTACATGAGCTAAGGGATTAGTATCGGAATGTACATTAAAATGTGCATAGGCTAGTTACGTGGGGAGACAGCCAACAGCACACGTTCAGAGTTGGGGCCGTGGCACCTGTGTCCATCGCTGCTAAGACAGCAGATCAGCCCCCACCGTGGGGAGCAGTATGGCCGTGCGGGGAGAGTGAAAATGTGCGACGTGACATGGCTCGTCCCTGTCTGGGGGCCTCCCTCTCACTTGTACACAAGGACAGGTGAGAAGGTCATCAGTTGTGGTGTGGTTTACAAAGTCGGGGAGGAGCTAAAATGACGGGCTTCTTGCCACAACAAATGTTACTCATGTTTAAATGAATTAGCCAGACCTGTATCTATGGGGTTAGATAAATCCTCAAAACATAACATGAAAGGAAAAACCTAAGTTGCTAGAAAAGATATCCCATTTGAAACTGGTGATGTGTTTGAAATGTGGAAGCCGTGTATGCCAGTTTGTGGATGCAGGCACCCGTCGGGGTGCACGCAGGCCTCCTGGGACGATGCCCTCGGCCTGTGGGGACACGGGGCAAGTGAGGCTGTCACTGTGTCTGAAATTTTACTGCTTTTTTCAAAAAAGAGCAAAACTGACAAAAGGTCAGCAACTGTTAGATCTGGGTCGTGGGTATAAGGCTGTCAACTGTGTTCTTCTCTGTGTGTTTAAATATTTATAATTAAACATTTTAAAATTAAGTCTTATTTTAAATAGAGTGCCCCCTGTGAGACTTCAGTGCTACCTTTAGGAATGCTGAGGTTCTGGCTTCCCCACCCAGTCCCAGCGAGAAAGGGCAGCCGTTGTTTGGTTCACAGCCAGCATCTGTGGTCAGCCCCGCGCCCCCGCCAGGTGGCAGCTGCAGAGCTCCTGCCCATCGCCTGGGAACTGCCGTCCTTGAGCTTTGACGTGGCCCAGAGGAGGACTGCATCTCCACGCTTCTGGCGCCTTTCTAAAGTGGCCCGGCCTGCTAGTTGTGCCCTCGGTCTTAGGATCATGCTGTCCCTCTAGCAGATGCCTGGGTACAACGGGGATCTAGGGAAGGCTCCCAATTGTTGCCCCGATCAGGACTTGGGGTGCACTGGGAGCCCCAGCCCAAGCTTGCCTGGGGTTTGGGACCCACCCAATGGGTTTGGGTGGTGTGGTGCTCCTTGGCGCTGGCTGGCTGAGTGGCTGCCCGGAACAGGCTTCTGTGTGACGCTGGTATCCGTCTGTGTCCCTCCAGGAGCCGGGATGGTGGTGGACTGGGAGCAGGAGACCGGCCTCCTCATGAGCTCAGGGGATGTGCGGATCGTCCGGATCTGGGACACGGACCGGGAGATGAAGGTGCAGGTAACCACGCCATCCCGTGCAGGCATGGGGGGCCGGAGGGGGCAGGCCAGTGCAAACCCTGCCCGTGCTCCAGTCCTCCCCAGCTCCTTCCCCTCCACAGAGCAGGCGGGTCACTGAGCGAGTGCAGTTTGTGACTGAGTATTAGTTATCTCTGGAAGGTGCTGGGGGGAAGTGCGGCCTGTCTCCAAAGCCTTGAGAAACTGCTTCCCTCTGGGTGCACAGTGATCCTGACGCTTTGACCTGCACTGCAGTGTGATTAAGCTTGTGCTAATCCTGATTTTTTTCAAATATTATTTTATCTGTGCAAATTGGTGAATATCAGAAAGCAGTAGGGTGAAATTAGAATGCTTAATTATTTAACTGTGTGCTTCGTAAAGCATCTTTTATTTTCAGTTTTAATAAAAAGAAAAAGGAGTAAATTGGTTTTCCTAAGACATCCTGGAAAAGTGACAGAGGGCCAAGGGGACAGCAGGCTGGAGCCGAGCTAGTGCCAACTCTGTTGGGAGCAGCGAGGCAAGACCACAGATACTCTAGGAGGCGGTGCTGGCTGTGGCTTTGGGCCCAGGAGTCCCTCATCCCAGAGTCCCAGGGAGAGCTTCCAGGCCTCTGGTTAGACAAGAACCGAAGGTCCAGAGGGAGGCACAGCACGTGCTGCCAGATCTAACCGAGGAAGGAGGGGAACGAGGGAGCGGATGTGAGATCTGCAGGCACGATGGTTAGAGCTGCACTTCCTCCACGTTAACTCTGTGACCGGGAGGCTGCAGCCCTGGTGGAGGTGACTTCCACTCTGCCCTGTCCTCACGTCCTGTGATGCACAGTCAGCTTTCATCACATTTTCTGAGAAATACGGCTGGCTGGCTGGCCAGCCAGTACAGCCCTCGCTGGCACAGCAGGAACACCGTGATGCTCGAGTCACTTACCTGGGCATTGGTGACTGCCAGCAGCTAACCGACTGGGGTCTCGTCCCCGTGCCCCTGCCACCTGCAAGGCCTCTGACAGGCAGTGTTGCCCAGAGGTGCGGGCAGAGGCCCCTCATCAGGAGTCTGGTTGCCTAGGGCAGAGGAAAAGGCTGGTTCATAGGCCACCTTCGCCTTGTAAACAGATCCAACTGATTTCATTTCACACGTGCTGGTTTCCTCCTCGCTTGGCGACAGCCATAGAACCTCCTGTGATTGGAGAAGCACTTCCTCCCCTCTGGGGGCCCATTTTTTGTCTCCTGCTCTTTCCTGGCACACGTTCATCACTCCTCCTGCCCTTCTCCAGCATTTACAGCTGCCAGGGAGAGCGGCGAGGGGATGGTTTATGGGAGGCAGAACTCCTCCTAGCTCCTTCCTGAACTAATTAAGAGTTTTCAGAGGAAGCTAACAAGGATTCCTCCTGCCGAAATGTGCTTCGTCTTTCTTTTTAGGAAAGAAGGAGACGTTGGAAAGTTTAATTGGCCCCGAAAGCCGGTTGTTACCAGAGGTGTTTGCCGGCTGCGGCCCTGGGGACCCGGCTCTCAGGCCCTGCCCTCTGGGCTGGGGGCTCAGGTGCAGCCAGGCTGTTGTTCAGGCGGATGTGGACCTGATGCAGTTCCCTGGGCCCTGCTGGTCCCTCGGGCTCCTCAGGCCTTTGATGGCTTCCCTGGTGGAGGAAAAGGCAGCAGTCGCACACCAGGGGTGATGGACACACCCACGGTGGAGATAAAAGGGATCCTGGCAGCTGTGGGGTGGGCTCCACACTGCGGGGCCTCACCAGGATCTCTGTGTTCGGCCCTAGGACATCCCCACAGGTGCTGACAGCTGCGTGACAAGCCTGTCTTGTGACTCCCACCGCTCCCTCATCGTGGCCGGCCTTGGGGACGGCTCCATCCGCGTCTACGACAGAAGGATGGCGCTCAGCGAATGGTAATTTGGCCGCACCTTCCCCTCCCCTCTGCCGGGCACAGGCACCTTCCAGACATCAGTGGTCGCGTTGCCACAAGGTTGCTGGGCCAGACGGAGTGAGCCCCCAAAACGAGCTGGGCACTCCCCACAGAAGCCACATTCCCCTGGCACGTGGAGGAGTGTGGCGTCCCCTTAGCTGTGGACAGGCCATTTGAAACACACCCACGGACTGTAATGTGGGAAGCCAGCAGGGTGGGTGTCCTGGAAAGGCACCGCCCTCTCTGAGCTCAGTTTCCCACCTGAACACTGGGAAGGCTGCCGTGCAGCTGAGCAACACGTGTTGTCATGGCTGCCCTAGGCCGAGGGCCAGGTGGGGGCAGGTGCTGTCACCTGTGTGAGCAGGTGAGGAGCTGAGGTCCAGACCTTAGTCCCTCGCCCAAGGCCCCATAGCTGATACATGATGGCGCGCCTTTAGAACCCAGGACAAGCAGTCCTGGGCTCCTGGGACAATGTGTTTATTAAACACCCACCTTGTCAGGAAAATCAGGCCTGGCCTGCGGAGGGCATGGGAGCAGCAAGTGGGCATGTGTGTCAGCCACTGAGAGCTGAGGGGAGCCCGCCTGGGGTGGGGGACAGGTGAACAGAACTGAGCTGCGCCTGGGAGGCAGGCCAAGGCAGCTCAGTCAACACACGTGGGAAGAGAACACACGCCTGTGTGAGCAGTCAGCAGTCAGGCGGGGTCTGGCTGCAGAGGCAGCGAGTGCTGGGACAAGTGCGACAGTCAGGCGGGCAGTGGGGGCCCCGGCTCCCAAGTGTGGGAAGAGTTTGCACCTGAGCCTTGAAGTGGGGATGGGCCCCAGGCACCTGCCCCTCTGCAGCACACCGCCCCTGGCTCATGTGTGTGTTCCCTGCAGGATCTCTGTGGCAGGGTCCCCCGCTGAAAACAGACCCACCCACCCAAAGCAGCCATTGTCGTCAGGGTAGGGGAGCGGGGTTTCTTTTTGGGGTGATGAAAATAGTCTAAAACTAGGTAGTGGTGATAGACACAGACTCTGTTGAACATACAGAAATCCACTGAATTGTATGCTGTTAAAGGGTGAGTTTTATGGTATGTGAATTATACCTCGATCAAACTGTTGTTTCAAAAAGCTACCCTGGGCAGGCAGTAAACTCTGAAATTAACCCAAGAAGAGCCGAGCGTCATGAGCCGCCCTGATGATGGGCCTGGGGTCTCCCAGAGCCCGCTCGCCCTCCTGACACCTGAGGGCAGTGACATAGGGGCGCTCGCACATCGCTGGGCTGCGACTCGTGGCTTGTTGCGTGTGTTGTGTCCTCCGACACCTTCCTCAGACGTCACACTGTGGACCCCGCCTGGGCCAGCCTGGCAGGCACACCCGGAAGTTCTGTGCTCCTGGTCAAGGACCCCGCATCAGGGCTCCAGGAAGGTCCCTGTGTCCCTCTATTTCAACAGCTTTAGAGTTGGGGCTCTCATTCCTGACCATCAAGTCCACAGGGTGGGAGATGCTCCGTGTGAGGTCCTGGTGGAGGGGCTGGCAGGTGACCAGGGCCCTGCAAGGGTCACAGTGGCCTGTCTCTGGGGGGCTCCAGTGTGGCACTGTTGTGCTCCCAGGGCGGCCCTGACAGCATCCCAGGATGGCCCAGAGGAGGGGGCATGTTGCTGGGCTCCCCGCTGCGTCCCGACATCAGGCAGTGCAGTCACTCATGGTGACCGCACGGGTGAAGGCGGCTGACCCGCAGGCACAGGCCAACCCGAGACAGCTTTAATAGATGCTCCGTCCCCCTCTGCTCCAAGTGAATTCACACCACGGCTTCTTACACCCTGTCTGCCAGCCCGCATGGCTCGGAGCCCGTCTGTGAAACCGCACAGTTGTTCCCCGAGCCTGGCAGCCCCTCCCCACATCCCAGACCACCACCACCTTCCCCCGCCCACCCTGCCCCAGGCCTCTGAGTCCACCTTCCTCCCCTGCAGCCGCGTCATGACGTACCGGGAGCACACGGCCTGGGTGGTGAAGGCCTACCTCCAGAAGCACCCCGAGGGCCACATCATGAGCGTGAGGTAATGAGCACAGGATATTTATGAGACATTTTGCTGTAAAAGCATTATTTTCTCCTCCATTTAAAATACGTCCTTGGTATTTAAACAGCTGGGAAATGATGGCATTTCGGGGCAGTAATTAACTTCTGCTCCGGGACTGACCAGAAAGGTCAGGGCCAGTGCGAGAGCAGGGGACACACCGGTCCTCCTGTGGAGAGCTTTGCCCGCTCTGCATGGTGGCTTCAGGGTATGAGGGGAGAGGGGTGGGCGAGGTGCCCCGCAGGGGCACAGCCAGTGTGGAGGGGGCACGGCCGGTGGCGTCTGCCGGGCCTGCTGCTGTGGGGGTCTCTGTCAGTGGGGTCGTCTGCCCATAAATCCATTCCTGCTGCCAGGTAAATCCTGTGCTGAGAGCAGCGAATATTTATTGGCCCGTTAGAGGGACAGCAAAACGTAATTTATTGTCACAAGCACCAGTTCTTCAAAGAGATGCTTTTTTCCTTCTTTGTAATATAAAAACAGAGCTCCCAGAGCTATCTCTTGGAACGAGGCCCGCCAGAAGCCAAGGGCGGGAAAGAGGTGGCCTCCGGAGTGGCATGCCGGCCTCCCGGGCCTCCCCTCCCGTCTCCTCCCTGCACCCCCAGCTGCACGAAATCTAATCTCTGGGACTGGAAATGAAACAGATAATTCACGTCCTCCTCCCGCATTTTGCTTCTCACTGCTTCTCTCACCCCAGGCTTCATGCCTTTGTGGCAGGGCCTTGTCTGGCTCTGGGGAGGAGTCCTGACTGCCGGGGTCGGTGGGACGGCCTCATGAGCCGCCTAGCGGGCCTCACTGGGCACTCTGAGGGTCCAGGTGCTAGCGTGTGTGCAACCAGGCCCCTGACTCCATGCAGCCAGTCCTAGGGGGCTGGTGTGACCTGGTCAGGCATCACTGTGACCCTCTCTTGGCAGCGTCAATGGAGATGTGCGCTTCTTCGATCCGCGGATGCCGGAGTCTGTGAATGTCCTTCAGATCGTGAAGGGGCTCACGGCCCTTGACATCCACCCCCAGGCAAACCTGATCGCATGGTGGGTACCCACCCTCTTCTCTGCCCTCAAAGAGGAAATGAGAGGCCCTTCCTGCCCCTACCAGGTCAGAGGGCCCCAAAGTCAGCCCCGGGCCTCCGGGTAAACAGCAGACGCTGTTCCTCCTATGCCTGTGAAGGAGAGTGGGGTAGAGCAACATAATTGTGGGGCCCCCTTGCTGCTCGTCACTGGCCTGGCCTCCTAGCCCTTGAGACTGGCTGATGGGGCCAGGGGTCAGCCCCGTCTCTGGGATGGAGTCCCACGGCCTGAGTCCTCATGTGAGGTGACTGGAGACGGACCACCTCTCCCTGTGGACACACCCACCTTCCTGACCCGGGCAGATGGAGAGGCCTCGCCACCAGCGCTGAGCCAGCCCTGTCCTGCAGTCATTTGCCTCTGGGCCCATCCTTCTCCCACCCCAAAAGGAGAAAGAGGCTAACGTCCAGACCTTGTTGTCTGCAGTGGCTCCATGAACCAGTTCACCGCCATCTACAACGGGAATGGGGAATTGATCAACAACATCAAGTACTACGACGGCTTCATGGGCCAGCGGGTCGGAGCCATCAGCTGCTTGGCCTTCCACCCACACTGGGTCTGTGCCCGCACGCCAGGGCTGGGGAAACGTGGGGAGACGTGGGGGCCGTGGGGGGCTGGCAGCAGGGAGCGGTGGTGCTGCAGCCAGGCCCACCCCGTGTCCAGGAACATCATGAAACGCGATCTTCTCAGGGCCCCAGGGCCTCCAGGGATCATGGGCCCCACACTGCATGCACTCCACTCCAGAAGCAACACAAATTCCCTGTCACTCGGGAGAGCGGGCTGCGCAGACAGACGTGTGATAGCCGCGCCCTTTCCATCACCTTCAGCCCCTGCACTAATGCCACCCCTGGAGAAACCTTCCCAGGAAAGTCTGCGGGGGAACACCCCTCCCCCTGCCCCGTGCTCCCTGGGGGAGGAGCGGCCCAGATCTGTGTGATACAGTGCCTGTTCTTAGTTATAGTCGGTCCTTGTGGCTGTGGGCTGTTGTATTTTAAATGAGGATCCTGCCAATCTGCCTCCGTGCAGCGTGGGGCTCCACAGGAGCCTGGCGTGCGGCTCTCTTCCGAAACACACATTAGATTCCCAGAACTGTCCCTGTGGGGCAATCCTGAAAAGAAAAATGCAGGGAACTGTGGGTAGTGTGCAAATTCCCTGTGATGGAGTGGGGAGAATGCATCTCTGCTGCAAGCCAGCAGCTAATGGTCCCGTCATTTCTCTCCCGTGCCTGCCTCTCGGGTGGGGTCGAGGGATAAGAAAATCCTGTGCGGCCGGGGCCCCCTCGCCCTCCTCACTCTCCCCCTCCCCCGGGCAGCTGGCTGCTCGCCCCCGCTCACTCCATCTGCTCTCTCCTCTCGCAGCCTCACCTGGCCGTGGGGAGCAACGACTACTACATCTCCGTGTACTCGGTGGAGAAGCGTGTCAGATAGCGGGCGCCCTGCTCCCCGCCAGGCCACGATGTACATAGTGGACCCGCCATGCTGCCCGTGAACACGGGTCCTGACCTGGCTGCTGAGGGCTCAAGGAGGGCCGTCTGTCTGTCTTCACTGTCACGCTCAGGAGCCCAGGGAAGGGGGCCCTGGTAGAGTCCTGTGGTGTGACAGCCGCTTCTTTGCTGAGACACAGCATCCAGGCCGAGGACACAGTCGCAGTTCGTCCCAGCACCCTTCCCATGCTGTTTTTCTTCTGAGATTTTTAAAGGGGGAAACACACTCATTTTATCTTCCTAGTGATCTAAGCATTAGCTCCACAAAAGCTGCCGGACAGAAGCCAGCTTCCCCAGGCGCGGCCACCCTGGTGGACAGGCGGCGTGGGGTGCCGAGAGACAACAAGAAGGTGCAGCCCCCTCCCAGGCACATCCTCCCTTCCGCCACCCACCAGTCCTCGCCTGCTCGGGGCCGGCACGGCCAAACAGGCTCACCCTCCCCACACTGCCCACCTTCCCCAGCACAGGCGTGACTCCGGATTCGAGTTTGGGCCCCTCTCACCCAAGATCCGTTAGCAGGTGGGGCCTGGGCTTTGGACAGCGAGGCAGGACCTGAGCGATTCAGCCGCTGCCTCAGGCCCAGGGCTTGTTTCTCTCCGAAGTGCTGCTCTTCCCCGGGCAGGTGCAGTGACAGCTCCCAGGCCCCGTGATCTCCCCACCTGTGCCTGCACGCAGGCGCACACGCATGTGCCGTCCCATAGCATCCCTGTGTGTGCTTGCACATGCAGTACATGTGCATCACACACATGCACATGTGGAGGGGCCATGGGAGCCTGAGAGTATCTGTGGGTAAACAGTGGCCCACCTCCAGCCCCTTGTACCCAAACACGGGTGCAACTAAAGTTGCACCTCGCAGCGAATAATGCAGAAGAGTTCCTCTGTGATTGCTTTAGCACAGGTCAGGGCATCTGTGCCTGTCTGTGCGTGTGCACGTGCACGGCAGGCGCGCCATGGGGACAGTTTAGCCCCAGGAAGGACCACAGCGAATGTGCTGAGCAATTGCAGACAAAGTGCTTGGAAAACAGAACACAACCACAATGATGATATTTTGAAAAGCATTTTTTCCATTTTCCTTGGGAATCAGGATTATTCAGAGATAGAAGAGTGAGCTGGCTTAACTAATTCTGCCAATAAGAGGCCACTAATGGTGGGAATGTAAGAGCTGTGCCGGAAGTTGAGGTCCCCTCATGCTGCATCTTCCGAGCAGCGAGAGGAACAGCACAGCCTGGGTGGGCTGGGCCGGAATCTGTGCTGGGGCTGGGTGGGGCAGGACAGGGCTGGAAGGGGCAAGATGAAGGAAGCAGCCCTTCTGCTGCCTGTAGGACAAGTATGCTCCCACTAGGAGAAGGTTGTGGGATGAAATTCCCACCCCTGGCTCTGTGATTGCTTTTACCATGTTCCGGGTGAACAAGCAGTGTGGGGTCAGGAAGGCCACAGAAAGTTCCGACCCTCCCACACAGCCACCTGTCAGCTCTACACGGCACTCCAGGCAGTGACGCCGGAACCTTCTGGAAGCTGAGCTCCACCCACAGACACTGAGAGAGCATATGACCCACTGCTAGCTGACTCACGGAGTGATTCCACTCCAGATTCTAAGCTGACATGTGGTTCTGTTTGTTTTGAGACAAAACCATCACCTCGCATCATCAAGTGCAAGGCTCCAGAGGAGGAGCAACGCCCTCCCGCCTCGCCCAGTGCCGCCCGCTCCCGTGTGCCACCTAGGGGCTGTGTCCTCACAGGTCTGATGCGAAAATTCAATCATGGAATAACCGAGGCTCACGAGAGCATGACTTAAAGGTTCATTTATCTCTATTTATTTTACCAAAATTAGAATTGAAAAAGACTTTGACAAAACGTGGAATTGTAATGTGAAAGTAAGAGTGATGACAACAAACTGTTAATAAAAAATAAACAAGTGCAGAGATGGCGGCAGGCGGCTTTGTCTTTTAAAAAAACACCTGTCTTCCCACGTGGGTAGTGGTGGCTCTGCGCTGAGGCCACCCACCTTCCCTTCAGCCGGGCAGCATGCGTGAGGCCCCAGGGGATGTTGCCCAGGTCCCCCTTGGAGCAGCCAGGCCCGCTGGGCGCTGTCACAGCCCTGCGGCTCGGGGGCTCTCCAGGCTCTGCTGGCGGCTCCAGGCCCGGGTGGCCAGCGTGTCCTGCAGCCAGCGGCTCTCATTCCTGGTCAGCCTCACTTGACAGAGGAAAGGCACCTCCGTCCTCGGGCACTGCCCCTAGCCCTGTGTCTTGGACAGTTTGTCCAAGAAAAGGCCCTAAATTTGGGATCAAACCTGCACGGTGCAAGAGCCGTCTGACTCCATGTCTGTGAGCCCAGGCAGACTCCAAAAGGACCCCCGCTGCCACTTCCTGTTTCTTGTGAGTGACACATCTGTCACCTCGCTGGGCCACAGTCGAGGTGTCCAGGGCTGGCTGCATTCTTTCCGTTCTGGAAGCTCGAGATGGAAGGTCCGTTTCCCGCCCTCTCCAGCTTCTGGAGGCCGTCCCCTTCCCGCGGCTCAGGGACCCCAACTCCATCTTGAAAGCCAGTGCTCACGTCTCTCTGACCCCAGTCTGGAAAAGTCCTGCACTGTTGACCCCGAGATTACATGGGCTTACTTGGCGATCCAGGATCGTCCCCCATCAGGACCCTTTACCCCTCATGCCTGCAAGGTCCCTCTTGCCATTTCTGAAAAGGCTCCTGTTTCTCCAGGGATTCCACACAGCCCTGCGGGCCCCGAGATCCCTCGAGGCCTTCCTGAGCTTGGGGGTGGGGGAGGGGATGTTCCTGAAGACAGTCAACAGGCCTTCAGGCTGGGGGTAGCTGAAGGGCCAGCTCTTTTCAGTCTGTCTCACACCGCAGGGGTGTGGCTGGCTGGAGATGGCTTAGGGACAGTCTCCTGTCACCCCCTCCAGGACAGGAAATGGGGGCCCAGGTGTAAAGTAACTCGCCCAAAGCCACACGCATTGGGTGGTGGCAGGAACTGGGGTCCCAGCTCAGGCATCCTGACCCCGAGGTTCCACGCAAAGACCTTCACTTGGCCAAGCGTGGTGGGGGCTGGGCGGGAAGGGAGTGGCACGCCCTCAGGACAGGCAGGCAGTGCCCCAGGGACTGGTGGTGCAAGCACCCCAAAAGGAACTTGCATGCACTGGCATGTGGTGAAGGGAGGTGTCCATGCACGCACATCCCCCTGAGGCTGGCTGAGCCAGCCCTGCTGCGGCCACCATGGAGGAGGGGGCCACATGACCCTGGGGTGCGAGGTCACCCGTCACCGCCACTGCAGCCCTCCCCATGAAGGGCTGTCGGCCTCCTGGAGAAATCGCCACGCGCTGAGCTCTGGTCGGTGCTGCTGAGGTGAGGGGTTCTAGGGGCGCTTTATGTGGCTCTGGTTCCTTGTCCAGAAGAGATGCAAGCACCCCCATGGCTGCGCAGGGGCCCGGGCGCCAGCTAGGGCAGGAAAGGACTTGGGAGGCTCTGGGCGGTGCCCCCAGGGTGGACAGCAGCCATCCTGACCGAGGGATGAGGGGCAGCAGCCCACGGCCAGGCATGTGGGGCCAGAGAGAGGCCAGTGGGCCGTGGCGAGGGGCTTGGGGGTGCGGAGCACGTGGGCAAGAAAGGGGCCAGGACGTGGGAAGGTTGTGGCTCCTGGCCCTGGGCCCCGGATTAATGCAGCCCGTGTGGCTTCCTGTGGCAGCTGCCGCACGTGACCACCCACGTGTGGGCCAGACAACACGTCCTGTCTCCAGTTCTGGAGGGTCCATGCACCTCACTGGGCCAAAACCAAGGCGTTGGGAAAGTTCCTTCTGGGGATCTGGCTTCTAGAATCCCCCATATCCTTGGCTCGTGGCCCCTCCCTCCGCCCTCAAAGGCAGCAGTGGCGCATCGAGTCTCCCTCACATCACGTCACTCTGACGCTGACTCTGCACCCTCTTCCACTTCCGAGGACCCATGATGACACTGCGCCCCCTGGAGAATCCAGGATAGTCTCCCCACATCAAAGTCAGCTGATCTGAAACTTCAGTCCCCTTTGCCACATGACCTGGCTCATCACAGCTGCCAGGATCAGGACATGGACATCTTTGGGGGGCTTTGTTCTGCTCACCATGCCCTCTGTCAATAAGACACAGGGCAAAGACTCCCACCCCCACCAAGCAGAGCCCCCAAATGCCCAGGGGGGTCTTCAGCCAAGAAGAGGTGGGTGGATACTGGGATGGGAAGGAAAATGTCTGTCCCTGCTCTCAGTGTAGGGAGAAGACGAGGAGGGGCATTGGGGCATGGCCCCTGCCCTCCAGAGCCCTCTGTGGAGTGGCCAGCTGCCCCCCGCGTCTCCGGGAGGCCCCCAGAGTCCCCAGGAGTGGCTGCACGTGAGGCCGGGCTGTGGGTCAGTGGGCAGATTCCCCAGCCCAGTGCCTGCTCCCGCTTCCAGCCTGCTCCAAGGTGGAAGGGAGCCGTTGCCATGGAAACCCAGGGTCTAAGCAGCTGGAACCCCTGAATTAAATTATGATTTGTTTTAAACAAGAAGGATGCCCAGCATTTACGCGGCTGTGCCCAGCATGCTTTAGTGGATAGACTAATATTTTTCCTATTAGCATCAGCTTCTCTGTCACCGGGACTGGAGCACAAATCAAGTGCTCATAAAAATGAAAGATGGACGCGTGGCAGGAGCTGGCCCCCAGGGCCGAGCCTGGCCCACTTGCTCTCCCAGGCCCAGCCCCACACCCGCCACTCACTACCCCACGTTGCCGCGGCGAAGGGGCCAGAAGGGACAGCCCAGCTGCACCGCATGGCCATGTTGGCCCTCAGGCAAGGGAGGACCACGTGGGGACAAGTGTGCAGGGACAACCATGTGGGGACATGTGTGCAGGGACGGCTGTCCAGCCGAGGAGAGAAGGGATGGGAGCCGCCTCGGGCGGGGATGGCACCTCGTGGGATCGTCCTGCTCAGCGAGGCTCTGCTTGGTGGGTCACCTGGCACCACCACACGGGGCAGCTGTACCTTGAAGGTCTTTCCTGGGCCAGTAGTTTTCGGTACAGGACCATGTGAGAAGCATCCCGTCCTCAGCCCAGTGCCCACGACACACTTCAGCACTCAAGAAGCTCCCCGAATTCCATAGCAAAGACACGTGTTCACCTGAGGGACATGGCGCAGCCGCCACTTTTCCTGCAGGGACATGGAGCACACATGTGTGCGGGCCTACATGCAGTGGTGACTCTAGTCTCAGGACAGTAGGCCCTGCAGGGCGAGTTTGGGAAAAGAAGGTTTTGGGATTCATTTCAGACAAGGGCTGGGGGCAGCCATCACATATACATCTGTCCACCATCTCCCTCCTGGCATTTCAGCAGGTAGCCCTCTGGAGGGGGTCAGAGGGTTTGGCCTCTCAAGGTCGTTCTGCTTCTCACGGTCAATTATAGGTTGGTCAGGGGCCCACATGGCCCAAAAAGTGGCCCATGCCTTACAGATTCGGGCAGGTGAGGATGGGGTAAGACCAAGAGGACAGACAAGGGGGAGGAGAGACGAAGGGGGAGGGTGGCCGCTGTGATGGGCCCTCATATGTTGAGGTCCTGACCCCCGCCCCTGCCTCAGTGCCCCCATCTGGAGGGCCCGCGTGCTGGGCGGACAGTGAGGCCAGAGGGGATCACCGGCGCTGCATGAGTGGAGGACCAGGGCTCTGGGGAAAGCCCCCGAGAGTCACGGAAGCAGGCGTGAGCGGGGACAGCCCCAGCGGACCCATTTCTTCTCAGCCTTTTAAATCACAGTCATTCCTTCCCGGGGAATGGCCTGCGGGCTTGATGCCAGAGCTTTGCCAGGAATTGGAGCCATCAGCTGCCTTCTCCTGGAGAGGGTGGGACACCAAGGCCCGGCGAAGAGCCCTAGTGGGCGGCCCAGCTTCGTGGGTCAGGATGGGGCCGTAGAGAGGTTTAAATTACTGTCTGTTGTCAGCTCCTGAGCTAATTGGTTTCCAGGTGATGCTTGTGGCATTCTGTCAATTTCTCCTCAACAGCATCAGCTAGAAGAGAAAAAACCCTCGGCAATCAATTACAGCCCCTGGACCTGTTTGTTGGGGTGAGGGTTTCTTTGCCTCCACCTGGTGGGGGTAGGACTTCACCCACTCGTGAGGGGTGGGCTTCATGTCCCCGAGACAGGACTGAGGGCGCGCCCTGTGCTCCCCACCACCTCCCAGGCCAGCCTGCACGTCCTGGCAAAGGGCCACCCCTGGGACCCCCACCCGCCAGTCCCCAGGCACCAAGGACTGACACGAAGCCATCACAGGAGCCAGGGTGTGGCACAGCCACCCGTCTCTGGAAGGAAGCAGGCTCTGCTTAGTCGCATCACAACAAGCCTGGCACGTAGGGGCAGCGTCCCCTCTGGTCCAGTAGAAACTTCCAGAACCCAGCAGGTGCCACCTCTTCACAAAGGAGGAGAGTTTCCTCCTCCCATGAAGGTGTCCACACTCCCGCCAGCCCCCCGTCGTGGTCCAAACTCAGATCCTCCCTGGGGTGGGAAGAGGGCGCAGGTGCGGCCCAGCTCTCCCGGGCTCCAGGCAGTCCCCACCCAGAGGGTGGAAGGGCGAGGTGGCTTCAGCTCCCCCCAGGGAGGGGGACCTGTTCTTTATTCCCTGGGGGCATCATGGCTGCAGCCTCCTCCAAACGCCCCTGAGGCCCAACCAGCAAGTTCCAAGTTGGCTCTCCGGGGCCAGAGGGTCTGTCCTCCTGCTGGCAGGGGCCCCTAAGGCCACAGCTGGCCCTCTGGGGCCATCTCTATCACCTGGGCCAGGGGCTGGTGTCACCTGGGGCTCGGCAGCACTGGGGGGTGGATGCCACCCAGTCACAGCCAGGAGAGCCCCCGGGGCCCCCACACCCTGATGCGGCCACATCCGCAGGGCAGGGAATGGGGCTCGGGGGGCAGAGTGACGTCTCGGTGGCTTTGCAGGAATTTCTCCTAGGCCTTCCCTTGACGATTCTTCTTGCCATCCCCCAGCAGGTGGTGAGATGCAGGAGGTGGGCAGGCCTCCAGGGAGGACTGGCCAGCTGGTCAGCCTCAGGAAGTGGCAGCACCAGGTCCACACAGGCCTGCAAGTGTGCAGTTGGGACAAGTAGCGAAGGGTCTGGAATCCAGCTGAGGCATCCGATTCACCAACCCAGGCACTGCCCACTGTGTATAGGAGGAGGATTGCGAGAGAGCAGCGCTGAGATGAGGCAAGACCCCCCGAGGGTGGAGCACTGACCCAGGTGGGCACAGGTCCTGGCCCGCCAGTCTGTCCGGTGGTGTCCCCTCCGCGTGGGAGGCAAGACTGAGGGGCTCCTAGAGAGGCCTTCCCATGGCAGGGAAGAGGAGGAGGCGGGTAGAGGCAGGCCCAGAGCCTGTCACCCGCCAAGCTGTGGCCCTGTGCCGCAGGAGGAAGGGCCTGGGGCTAGGACAGCCCACCCCCATCCTGCACAGTGAGCCTGGCTTCCCCCTAACTGGAGGGCCCAAACCAGGCATTTCCAGTAGCCCCCAGCCATGAGAGTCCCAGCCCCATGCCCAATACCCACCCCTGCGGCCTGTGACATGAGTGACCCCAGCCCCGCAGGGAAGGGGTAGAGGCAGCAACAACCACAACAAAGACAAAGTGGGGTCCATGTGGAATTTTCTTTCTTTTTTGCTATTTACCAGCACTCTTTGGACTGGGGGTAAAAAAAAATGACATACCAGCAATGAACAATCTGAAAAGGAAATTAAGAAGCCAATTCCATTTATAATAGCATCAAAAAGAATAAAATGCCTAGGAACAAATATAGCCAAGGGGATGAAAGACTTGTACACTGAAACATTGCTGAAAGCCATTGAAGGAGACCTAAACACACAACAAGACATCTGCATTCACAGATTAGAAGACAATATTGTTAAATGGCAATACTCCCCAAAGTGATCTACAGATTCAGTGAATCCCCATCAAAATCCCAATGGAAAGACCAACCCCCAAATTCATATAGAATTGCAAGGGGCCCCAAATAGCCAGAACAATACTGAAAAAGAAAAAGTTGAAGGATTTGTACTTCCCTGTTTCAAAACTTTCTACAAAGCTACAGTAATCAAAACAGTGTGGTACTGGCGTAAGGACAGATTTATAGGAATTTAATGGAATAGAGCAGAGAGCCCCCAGCACAGCCAAACACCTATGGCAATCGATGTTCAACAAAGATGACAAGACCATTCAGTGGGGAAACAATAGTCTTTTAACAAATGGCGCTGGGACAGCTGGACATCCACATGCAAAAGAAAAAAGGTGGACCCTTACCTCACACCATATATGAAAACTATCTCAAAACGGATCAATGGCCTAAATATGAGAGCTAAAACTATAAAGCTCCTAGGAAAAAAGCATTGGGGTAAATCTTCATGACCTCAAGTTTGGCAATGGATTCTTAGATTTGACACCAGAAGGACATGCAACAAAAAAAAAGATAGGTAAATTGGACTTATAAAAATGAAAAACTGGGCCGGCCCCGTGGCTTAGCGGTTAAGTGCGCGCGCTCCGCTGCTGGTGGCCAGGGTTCGGATCCCGGGCACACACCGACGCACCGCTTCTCCGGCCATGCTGAGGCCGCGTCCCACATACAGCAACTAGAAGGATGAGCAACTATGACATACAACTATCTACTGGGGCTTTGGGGTAAAAATAAATAAATAAAATGAAAAAAAAAAATGAAAAACTTTTGTGCATCAAAATACCTTATCAAGAATGTGAGGGACTGGCCTGGAGGCGTAGCAGTTAAGTTTGCGTGTTCCGCTTTGGCAGCCCGGGGTTTGTAGGTTTGGATCCCAGGTGCAGACCTACACACCACTTATCAAGCCATGCTGTGGCAGCATCCCACATACAAAATAAAGATGGGCACAGATGTTAGCTCAGGGCTAATCTTCCTCAAGCAAAAAGAGGAGGATTGGCAATGGATGTTAGCTCAGAGCCAGTCTTCCTCACACACACACACAAAAATAACGTGAAAAAAACCTACAGAAAAAAATGCCTGGAGAAAATATTTGCAAATCATGTATTTGATAAGAGTTTAATATCCAGAACATATAAAGAACTCTTACAACTCAACAACCAGAAGACAAACAGCCCAGTTAAAAAAATGGACAAAGGACTTGACTAGACATTTCTCCAAAGAAGCTGTACAAATGGCCAACAAGCACATTATAAAAGATGTTCGACATCATTAGTCATTTGTTATTTTTAGTGCCATCAAGTGGATTCCAACTCCTAGCGACCCTGTGGACAGCAGAGCACAACCCTGCCTGGTCTTTTTGTGCCATCCTCTCACCTTCCAGCGCTGTATCAGACAGTGCTCCACTGCTATTCACAGGGTCTCTGTGGCCAATTTTTTCGGAAGTAGGTGGCCAGGTCCTTCTTCCTAGCCTGTCTTAATCTGGAAGTTCCGCTAAAACCTGTCCACCACGGGTGACTCTGCTGGTACTAGAAATCCTGGTGGCATAGCTTTCAGCATCACAGCAACAGACAGCCTCCACAGTATGACAACCAACAGAGTGGGTGGTGTGGTTCCATGACTGGGAAATGAACTGGGCAGCAGTGGTGAGAGCTCCGGATCTTAACCACTAGACCCCCAGGGCTGGCTCATTAGTCATTAGGGAAATGCAAATCAAAACCACAGTGAGATACCACTTCACACCCACTAGCACAACATCATTCAAAAAAACGGAAAATAATAAGTGTTGGCGAGGATGTGGAGAAATTGAAACCTTCGTACACTGCTGGTGGGAATGTAAGACAGTGCGTCCGCTGTGGAAGACAGTTTGGTAGATCCTCAAAAAGTTAAACATGGAATTACCATCTGACCCAACAATTCCATTCCTAGGTGTATACCCAAGAGAAATGAAAACATGTCCACATAGAAGCTTGTATACAAATGTTCATAGAAGCGCTATTCACAATAACCAAAAGGTGGAAACAACTCAAAAGTCCATCAATGAGTGGACAAATAAAAAGTGGTAAATCCGCACAATGGCATACGATTCAACCGTAAAAAGGCACTACCTGCTGACACACGCTACAGCGTGGATGGACATGGAAAACACGGTGCTGAGTGAAAGAAGCCAGACACGAAAGGCCACATCATGCACAGTTCCTTTTATATGAAGTGCCTAGAATAGGTACAGAGATTGACGGATTACCATGCAGACAGAAAGGAGATCAGTGGTTACCAGGGGCTGGGGAGGGGGAACGTAGAGTGATGACTTAATGGGTATGGGTTCCTTTTGAGGGGATGAAAATGTTTCGAAACTAGATAAATGTG